AGCTTTCTTTTCTTAGACTTTTTAACTGACMAAGCCGGCTTATGGTTAGGGGCATCATTGAATAATGAAGGATCCTTCCCATCAACCATAGCGCGAGTATTAAAAGCTATTGGTGGCTAACAGTCTCGGAAATTAGAAGAAACTTTTTCTGGCACTCGACAACGCAAGTCATACATAATTATAACAGCTGACCACGAATAGTCGTTTCTAAGAATTTTTTTTATTTGCAATTGTTTTGTTGTTGTTGCTATTTTCATACAAGTTGATCCTAGAGGAAGAACGCTTTATGAAGGGAAAGTGTGGCTGAAAATTTTCTAAAACTTTGGTGACTGGTATAATAAAATTTTCTAAAAATGGTAATCACATGAAACAATTACAAATTCAATTTCGTTTAGTGTCTATTATTTTGGACATTAGTCAGACATAAAATGGGGTTTATACTGAAAACTTGAAATTGTGTCTATCAATGTCAATTAAAACAGCCTAGTTGGTAACTACCATCGATTCTAATGGTCTGTATCCACTTCGTACAAGAACCCAGTGTCAGGCATCAGTACTCGGTTGTACGAAGTACTTTGTACAAACACGCGCCAATTATCAAAAGACTCGGGCTTGATTTTTCCTGTCCCCCCTGCACCAATCATAATACGCGCATCCTGTCCCGTGAACATATCTCCTGTCACTTTATCGACCAGCACAACTTYCTTCTTGTCTGAAATCTTCTCTGGTTTCGTAAATTCGTAGAAACCTTTACCAGTCTTGAATATCAGGCTGTTTTTTTGGACAAACGTCTTGATGTCGCAGCGCTCAGTGACATCAAGAATTTGGAAGCGAGAAGGATCAACTGGAATTAAACCACTTTCCTCTCCTAGTGTAGCTTCGTATGTTGTTGTACGCCCAGCAAGAGTATCAAAAAGTTGGTGTAAACTACGATTCATCCCACCACCAGAACCTCTGCCACGAACTTCCTCCTCAAACGTCTGTAAGCTTTCCATGCCCTGCTCACGATAGCAGATGGCCGTCAGGAAGTCGACGATTGTCGAGAACTGGTCAAGTTTTAAGTGCCATCCACACGATAACTCTGCCATTTGCTTATAAAAGGAATTGGATGCGGAGTACCCCAGGCATTGGATAGAGTAGATACGTACACCCAATTCCTCGTACAGTCTCTTGGCCTCATCTCGCCAGTTGATGTTGAGGGTGTTCAAGTGGTAGTTAGGGGGATGGGGACTGGCATCTCCTATCATTACCAGGGCACGCTGGGAACCTGGTGTCCAGGACAACTCGGTTCGTACCTGTGTTAATCATTACATTATTATAAAATCAGACAGACAGATGATCTAGCTGCAGGAACAACAACTGCAACRCAAAAGATGTTTGTATCCAAGCTAGCCCACAATGCACCATGCATGTTTTCCCTCTTTGGCCATCAYTATATAAGGCATGCATGATGAACAAAAGATTTTCGTACCTAAGCTACACCAGTATGCACCTTGAATGTTCCCCCTTCCAGGTTAGCTTTGGTCAACACCATATAAGACATGATAAACAAAAGATGTTTGTACCCAAGCAAGCCCAGAATGCACCAATGCTTTTGGTCAACACCATATAAGGCATGATAGTTAAAATATGTTACTGAGCAGACACACTAACCAGGACCACTTGAATAAAACTAACCAATCAGATAACAGTAAACTAGACAGGGATTGACAATGTTAGCCAATCAGATTATCACTTTCTCATGCTCTCGTTATATCAATGTGCTTATCTGATTGGCCGGTTAAAAATATTGAACTAAATGTTGCAATATGATTGGTTTATGATACTAGTTCATCAAAGTGGTCCCATTTGGAGTATCAGCGCAGTAATAATAACCAAGTTCTGAATTCATTACATTTCATACCTGTCTTAGTACAAGTTCATAGCACTCATCAGAATCATATCCACWCGTTGATGATACATTCTTCACAAAATCAACAATATTTCTCTTGTTTGAGCTGAAGTCAATCCATTTGGTGTCATAAGTAGCAGGTTTGTCTTGGTAATCACCATGTGCAAAAACAGMAATTCTCATTCCCTTGACTTCTGTCAGGAGACGGTTGACAGTCTGCTCAATTTTATTYCTCACCTATTTTAAGATTGAGAAATCAGACAAAAAATGAGAAAATGGGAAATGTCAACAGCATYACAATAATTTCAAATATATTAGGAAGAAAATAAAGAAGTAGTTAGGAAAATAAGACAAAAAGTGAAAGTAAAGAAATGGTTGTTTGTTGYGTGACCATAACATGAATAAATGGATGAATGAAAAAATGGATGAAATATG